ATATTTTCCTGTACATCATAAACTATTATCTTATAATCAAAGTGACATACAAAACCCATATTATCTAAAATAATCATGAGTTTTTTCTTGTAAAGACTGTTCTAAAACACCCCTGTAGTTCTAATTTTTTTTTAAATAAATGATTAGTATGATAATAATCAGAATTATACAATAATTTCAGTAGATAGTCATATGGTAATTTCATCTTTTATTCTCTATCTTGACAACTATTTCCATAACATACTAATGTCTAACAGACACATAAATCTAGTAACTTGCTTTGGTACTTTAAGTTAAGTTAGCAGAGAAAGTAAAAGAAGGGGGGAGGGGGAATCTTAAATCTTTTATTTTCATATGGCAACTTCATCTTTTATTCTCTATCTTAATATCCAAAGTATTTTGAGGCTTTAACTCCAAATAACCCCAAAACATGCACTCATCACTATACACATCTTTTTAATATCATTTTCTACCTAATATGATATAAATAGAAACCAATAAAGAAACTGAAAGAAATACACAAAGCATTATCTTACTGACAAATAAAAATAAAGATAACTTGTAAAATTTTGGTTTACAAATAAAGTTTAGAACTCGAAGCACATTTACCATATGGAAAAAAAAAGCCTAGAAAGTCTACCGGGTGAGGTGCACAGTTTCTTCCCTAATAAAATAATTCATACGAACAACACATCTTTCAACTACATGTACAATAGTAAAACTTAAAACTTCACCTAAATTAGACAACAATCAAGCACTATCTTCAAAACATTTGCTAATCACATTTTAATGTACAGTTCGGACCTAATTTGAAGTTCGTGGTGTAAATATTTTGTAAACACGGTAGCCACTAAAATAAAATTAACTTACTTGACATCTATGTCACCTTTAATGTTTGTAAACAACTAGTATGCTAGACTTATCACTCAACCAAATGAGATCTTTCTAAATAAGTGTTTGTGACCTGTGGAATAACCTTATAGGTTTAAGGCCAAATGATGGTCAGCAAAAATGCAACAATTCTAACCTTTCTTTAAATTTTGGGTTACATTCAGTTGAATGTATATCACACTTACTGAAGTTGTTAAAATGAAAACTTAAAATCATTAATTTCATTACATGACTTAATCTTTAGTAGAAATGTGTTACAAAATAAACAATCATGCAACAATAGCTTTTATGTAATCTTCCCTCAGGGACTCTAGCCACCTTGACTTTGTGTGACATTTACAACTGACTTAATTTGCCTTAACCAAACAGTTGGATAAAATTTGTTAAAAAATGAGCAATTATATCACAATAGCTTTTTGTGATTTTCACTAGTAGGCCTAGTTAAGCTGATCTTTATGTACAAACTAAATAAATAATTGATCAAATATGGTGACAAGGTAGCATTATTGCAGCTTTAACCCCTCTGTTACTTTGCCATTCATTTCAAAGCAGTCTTTCATAATGTAAAATACATGTTTACATTTTTAAGCATATTTAATTATTACAAAAATTATATTAGTCAGCCGTTAACTAGTCTAACAATTATGGATGAAATCAGAAACAAGATCTATATGGAAACGATAAATAAACC